CCGCAGGAAATTACATGTTTTACACTGTCACGAACTTCTTCTCACAAATTTTATAGTATCAGCACCAAATTTGGGTGGTGTCATCTGAAAGCTCTAGCGATGATATATTGTGAAAATCTAGAGTCTTCGCAGAAAGGCGTGTCCGTTGTGGCATGACAAACCTCAACGCTTCGCCATGGAACAGGAAGTCCTTATAACTCAACCACACAATGTCTGATCTGCCTGAAACTCCACATGGTTGATAAAAGTCCTCTCCTGAACACATATACATGTCAATATTAGTCAGTCATAGCGCCACCTAGTGACGGAAGGAATTTTGGCTAATAACTCAACCACACAATGTCCGATCAGAGTGAAACTTAACATGATGGATAAAAGTCCTCTCCTGAAGACATCTACATACCAATCTTGAGTCACAGTCATAGAACCACCTGCTGACAGGGGGAAGTTTGGCATAAATCTGTGATTTTCTCGGCTTCTTTATATATATCGGCTTAAAATATTATTGTTCGCTGTTCTCTATCATCCTGAGGCCACCGGGCGGCGGTGAGCCCGGGTGCGAGGTCCCTATCATCGCTGCTTGCAGCTTTAATTATTATTATTATTATTATTCCGCCCCCTATCGGGGCACTTTTGAGGGTCTAAACATGCCCGAAAACTCATGAAAATTTGCACACACACCAAACCCGGTGTAAATAGCAGGTCGATATGGGTCTTGGAAGTGGGCGTGGCAAAATGACTCGACAGCGCCACCTAGAAAAATTAAACGGACGAGCCCCCGATTCACGAATCACACACATGCGCGAAAATTGGCACACACTTCAAACACGCCAAAACATACGAAAAAGTCTCTTGGAGCCATATCTCAAACCCAACAGGAAGTCGGATATTTTTGACTTCCTGCGGCCAAAAAGTGGCGTTTTTGCCATTTCCAAGCGTTGTATTTTAACGAACTCCTCCTAGGGATTTTATCCGATCGACACCAAAATTGGGTTTTGTCATCTAAAGGCCTTGGCGATGTTAAATTGCGAAGCTTTAGAGTTTTCATCGATGGGCGTGTCCGTGGCGGCCTCGCAAACTTTGACGATTCGCCACAAAAGAGGAAGTAGTTATAACTCAGGCATGCATTATCCGATCTGCCTCAAAATTCACACGCTTGATAAGCGTCCTGACCTGAACACGTTTACATGCCAATATCCAGATACAGTTACAGCGCCACCTGCTGGCCACAGGAAATTACATGTTTTACAGTGTGACAAACTCCTCCCACAAATTTTATCGTATCAGCACCAAATTTTAGTGGTGTTATCTGAAAGCTCTAGCGATGATATATTGTGAAGATCTAGAGTTTTCACAGAGGGGCGTGTCCATGGCGGCATGACAAACCTCAACGCTTCGCCATGGAACAGGAAGTCCTTATAACTCAACCACACAATGTGCGATCTGCCTGAAACTTCACAAGGTTGATAAAAGTTCTCTCCTGAACACATCTTTATAACAATATTGAAGTGGGCGTGGCAAAATGACTCGACAGCGCCACCTACAAAAATTAAACGGACGAGCCCCAGATCTACGAATCACGCACATGCACGAAAATTGGCACACACCTCAAACATGCCAAAACATACGAAAAATTCTCTTGGAGCCATATCTCAAACCCAACAGGAAGTCGGTTATTTTTAACTTCCTGCAGAAAATAAGTGGCATTTTTGCAATTTCCAGGCTTTGTATCTTAACGAACTCCTCCTAGGGATTTTATCTTATCGACACCAAAATTGGGTTTTGTCATCTAAAGGCCTTGGCGGTGTTAAATTGCGAAGCTTTAGAGTTTTTGTAGATGGGCGTGTCCATGGTGGCCTCGCAAACTTTGACCATTCGCCACAAAACTGGAAGTCATTATAACTCAGGCATGCATTATCCGATCTGCCTCAAAATTCACGTTTAATATAAGTCCAGACCAGAACACGTTTACATGCCGATATCCAGATACAGTTATAGCGCCACCTGCTGGCCACAGTAAATGTCATGATTTACAGAGTAATAAACTCCTCCCACTAATTTTTTCGTATCAGCATTAAATTTGGTTGGTTGTTATCTAAATGCTCAAGCGATGATATATTGTGAAGATCTAGAGTTTTTGCAGAGGGGCGTGTCCGTGGTGGCATGACAAACCTCAACGCTTCGCCATGGAACAGGAAGTCCTTATAACTTAACCACACAATGTCCGATCAGACTGAAACTTCACATGGTTGATTAAATTCATCTCCTGAAGACATCTAAATGCTAATATTGAGTCACAGTCATAGCGCCACCTGCTGACAGAAGGAATTTTGCCTTATAACTTAACCACACAATGTCTGATCTACCTGAAACTTTACATTGTGGATAAAAGTCCTCTCCTAAACACATCTACATAATAATAATGAGTCTGTCATAGCGCCACCTGCTGGCAGATTGTAGTTTGGCTTATAACTCAGCCAAACAACGTCCGATCTGCCTGAAAATTCACATGGTTGATAAGACTCTTCTACTGAAGGCATCTACATAACAATTTTTAGTCACAGTTATAGCGCCACCTGCTGACAGGAGGAAGTTCGGCATAAATCTGTGATTTCTCTGTTTATTTATATATATCGGCTTAAATTAATGTTGTTCGCTGTTCTCTGTCATCCTGAGGTCACCGGGCGGCGGTGAGCCCGGGTGCGAGGTCCCTATCATCGCTGCTTGCAGCTTTAATTATTATATTATATTTACAAGGTTTGATATAATATTTTCCCAATTTCAAATAAAACATGTTATTTAGAGAATATTTAGAAAATTACAAATGTTCAGAATATCAGTATCTTACACCACTAAATATTGATTTTTATAACTTTTCTGAAATTAAAACATTGGTATTATGTTATTTATATACATTTATGTTATTAACTTACAACATATAAAATGACCACAAAAACATGGAATACAAAATAAAAGCTGATTAGCTTTTTTAAATAAGTTAAAGTAACAAAAATAATTATGTTGAACTTGACATTAATGTTGTTCTAACTACATATTTAAAATAAGCCGAATCAACACAATTCCTGACGTTTTTTAGGGACAACCTAATTGTTTAATCTTCAATACAGTAAATTTGTAAAAACATTAAGTTAACTTAAGGCGAGGCAGTGGCGCAGTAGGTAGTGCGGTCGCCTCACAGTAAGAAGGTCGCTGGGTCGCTGGTTCGAACCTCGGCTCAGTTGGTGTTTCTGTGTGGAGTTTGCAGTCTCCCTGCCTTCGCTTGGGTTTCCTCCAGGTGCTCCGGTTTCCCACACAGCCCAAAGACATGCGGTACAGGTGAATTGGGTATGCTAAATTGTCCGTAGTGTATGAGTGTGTGTGTGAATGTGTGTGTGGATGTTTCCCAGAGATGGGTTGTGGCTGGAAGGGCATCCGCTGCGTAAAAAAAAAAAAAACTTGCTGGATAAGTTGGCGGTTCATTCTGCTGTGGTGACCCCGGATTAATAAAAGGACTAAGTTGACAAGAAAATGAATGAATGAAGTTTTTTTGCAGTGTTTGCAGAATAAAACAGAAATTAGCTTATTAAATTAATACATTTTTCTCAAATACAAAACTAAAATTATAAATCATGAATCCAGACAAACCGAGAATTGTGGTCTGGATTTTATATTTCTGAATTGCATTGTGGAACCTTGGTTTATGCTCTATGATCTTTTGATCTTGAAAATGTAGATCTACAGTTTAGCAAAGGTACTTAAAAACAATATTGTATAAGAAATGCATCAAGTTTATTACAACTCATTGCTAGGTTTAGTGCCATAATTGAAAAGATATAAAGTTTCAAACTGTTAAAATTTCAATAAAAGTCACTTTATCAAATGTTCCCATTATGCCTTTTAAAAGAGCTAATAAACAGAAAATGATCCATTTACAGTTGAAGTCAAAATGACAAGTCAAGTGCTGTTTAACAGACCAAGGACATTTGCACAGTTTTTTTTTTTTTCAGTTCTCTTTTTCTTCTAGTTTTGGTTGAGTGAAAGCAGCTTTTAAGTTTTAGTTTTTTGAAGAATTTTTATATATTTTATTTTGATTGACTACAAAAAAATACTGCAATGATTAATAATATGATTTACTGTACATTGCTTGTGTTTGTGTGTGCGCATGTGTGCAAGAAACAGCTTAGATGTGATTTTTATCCAATTCATTGGCTATTATTGGTCTATCTTATGTGATTGACAGGTTGTCGTGTCATCAGAAAAAATAAATGTGAGATGGAGATAAGGCTGGCCGATTAATCGAAAACTAAATAAAATTGATATTGAAAACCTTTAATCCATCTAATTTTTCCAGGACGATCTTTTTCAATTACTTTTCCTACTACGTCTAAAGTAGATACATGACTCCGCTCTGTTAAGGCTGATTTATAATTCTGCGTCAAAAGCACGGGAATGTTCCGGCACAGTCTTCACGTGGTCACATACCCGCACACATCTCGAAAAATGTATCTACACATCGCACGTTTGCATTACATTGATGATTGGAAGCTGCGCCTGATATCTGCTAGAGACGTCATATTTTACATTACAATAAAACTATTTACATTGAAAATTATATTTTCTACTTTTGAAAACATTAAAAATAAATGATTGTTTCTGAAAGTGCATTTTATAAAAAAAAACGTTGTTCAATAAATAATCTATAATGTTATAATAAATAATAATGTTTCCTTCAATTATTATTTTATTATTTTAAGTAATATGTGTGCATATTTACTGTACAAAACCTGTCAGTTTACCATGAGGGCAAAAAAATAAAATAAACAAATAAAATAATCGTTCATTTATCGTAATTAAGTTAAAAAGTTCAATTAATTGAGATTTTGATTTTTGGCCAAATCGCCCAGCCCTAGATGGAGCACAACTTGTTTTTTTTTTAAATATTATTAAAGATGACTGCATGAATTCAACAAGAAATCATAACAAAATGTTCAGCTTTGTCAGCATTCTACTTTTTCTTTTTGACCAATCAGAGCGGAGTATCCCAGAGAGCTTTGGAATAATGCTAATTATCACTGACTTCTCTGAGGGCTGAGGCAACTCGGGTTCTTTCCCACCCTGCTAGCTTTCTCTTTCTCTTCTCTTCTTTTCTTTTTCTTTCCGTCTGACGCACTATGAGTGAAGGATATCAGATTCCCCTGAAAGCTCTCGGACAGGTGAGCGCTGCTTTGCTTGACCTCCATCTCTCACATTACGGTGCTAAACTGCGACTCCCTGCTGTTCTCGATTACACACGTTTGCCTGCACACACACACAGGTGTGATCCTTACACATCAGTCTCTTTTAGTCGCCAATTGGTATCGACATCATCGAGGCTAAATGGATTCAGTTACAGGGCATTATTATGTATGATGCTCAGACATGATCATACAAAACATGTTTTGTACAAAAACAGATGGACAAGTAGGAAAAGTGAAGAGACCAGTTTTTCTGGATTTATAGTTGTGTTTTGTAATCTGAAGACTTTTCTTCCAAATTTAAAACACAAATGATTACTTTTACAACATTTTTCGGCATAAAATAACAACCGAGTGCCATGTTTTCAGACACATTTGTATTAGTTTTTAGAAAGCACAATACCTTCAAATTTATGTCATTTATTTATATATTTTTTGAAACTCGGTCCTATACTGCCTGTCTTGACCAGGGCACCCTGTTATAAGAGATATTGTGCCTCAATGGGACTTTCCTGGTTAAATAAATAAATGAATGTTCGAATTGTGTTCTTGGCTTCTTTGGTGAACAGAATGTTATAAACAAAAGTATTTTTTATTGCAACCTTCTAAAGGCCTTATTTTAAAATATTTTTATGCATCATTATTTTTATGAATCAACTGTCGATTGGGTTTAGGGAAGGGGGTGGGCGGATAAATCTGTGATTTTAAAAACACTAGTGGTTGGGTTTAGGGAAGGAGGGGGGTGGGTCAGTCAGTCAGTCATTTAACAGCAGCCTCTGGTGGATTTACATGAGAACAGCAGGCGTGAATTGCACTCGCAAGAGAAATGTGAGATCTGCAAAAGTGTACACAGCGGCCTCTGGTGGATTCAAAAACTGCCAAAAATCGTAGCTCCTGTGACGTATTTGGTGCTCTCCAGAAATGTATATAATGGTACATTTTCTAAACGAGCGTGGACTGGATTTACTACATTTTTAGTGTCATTTAGTGGTTGGAAACTATTTATATGGGCTGGATTTAAATAAACAAATAAGTTAACTGTTACTAAATTTAAATTGTTTGTTTAAATTCAGCCCATATAAATAGTTAGCAAGCACTTACCTTAAGAAAATGTAGTAAATCCAATGAAACTTGTTTTTTTGTATGTAACCGTGTTAATCTACTTTTTTTTTTAAACATGACACTATTATAATAAATCCATAAGACCTCATATTGCTAGTATTTTGATCAATAACATTGAATATTTTCACTGACAATATCTTGACCTCATAGATGCTTTTGCAGGAATTTGATAGCAGCACCACTGTGAGCAAATGAAATCTGCACACTAGGCATTGATATAATAATATTAGTTTTATATCACATGAATCTAAAGGACACTTTAAGCAAAACCAGTCCTGCTGGGATCTCAGTGGGTAGTGGGCACTCTGTGAGGAACCAAAATATAATTACCTGTCTGCAGCAACCACACATTTAAAAAACAACAGCAGCTTTGCTAAGTGATGGAATAACAAATCAAAAGGAAAGTACAGAAATAGTTAATTGAGAGAGAGAGAGAGAGAGAGAGAGAGAGAGAGAGAGAGAGAGAGAAAGAGAGAAATAATAAATAACAGAAAGTTGATCTACATAATCATCTCTAGATAGGACAGCTGTGCTACATTGTGGTCAGGCTCAAACCTCAGCAGAGTTTTCATAGATTTTTAACGTGCTCTTATAACACTCAGCAAAAAAGCACCTGCACTTTTCACTCCCACTCAAGCATGAAATGATGTCGACACAGAATGACTCAACTGATTTGTTGCGCCACATTCAAAAAGACAATACGTTCTGTATCTATACAGGGCTGCATTCTAAGTCTCCCCTATACCTTAAAACAGTGTACTTTTTTAGGGAGCAGATATTTGTATTGGTGTTAGAAACCACAGTGGACATTCTGAAGTGAACTCAGTCAATCCCACAATGTATTGTGCAGTAATAAATGTACAGCCGATGCACACTCAATGGCTAGAGCAGTATTTCTCAACCATGCTTCTGATGGCACACCAACAGTACACATTTTCAACCTCTTCCTATTCAAACACACCTGAATCAACTCATCAGAACATTAGAAGACACTCCAAAACCTGAAATAAATGGTTTAGATAAGGGAGACATTCAAAATATGACTGTTGGTGTGCCTCTAGGAACAAGGTTGGGAAACACTGGACTAGAGAATACAGTAACTAGTAGAAATATGGTACAGTCTCTTTAAAGGTCTTTGAAATGTGCATATTTTTCATTTAATCCCAATAGGCACAGAACGTCAACATAACATCAGATTGACATTGTATCTCAATGTTGTGGGACATTGCTTTTTATTTGGAATTGGGTTGATGTCAGAACCCAATGTTACCGTCCAACGTCAGACAGATGTTGCATTTTGGTTACTTTCCAACGCAATCTAAAAACAACAAAATATTGATGTCTTATGATGTTACAGCTTGATGTTGTGTGGACATAACCAGTATCACGTCTACCACATGTTGGATTTTGGTTGCCATACTTGATGAATAAATGTCAGTATTCGATGTCAATATGAGGAATCAGAGCCGGCCCAAGGCATAACTGAGCTAACCGGCTGCCCTGTGGCCACCAGGAGGCCCCTAAGAGTGCAAAAAATAACCCACTTTCGTTTTTTGGTTACAGATATATTATATCAATGGCTTACTGTGATTATACAAAATGCATTATTCAATGAAAAAAGCAATATTTTGTTAACAGGCTGGCGCAGGATATGGAAATGTGGAATTGTCTAGGCCGCATTTAAAGGCTGATTTATTCTTCTGCATCAAGCGTACGCGTATGCTACAGCACAGCCTTAGCAGTGTCACATAGCCCTTGCCGTGACTGCCGCTGACCAGGCCTGGTTTATACTTCTGCGTTGAGTGTGACCCACGGTGCATGCCTTGCGCATTTCCGTGCATTTATACTTCTGTGCGCTGTTTGTATTGCTTTGCAATAACACGTCTGAAACGCTAGCTGGCAGTGAGGTTTTTATGTTCCTCTGTGTCGAGTTTCTTCATTGGTGTTTTGTTTTTTCTAAACACTACCTTAATGTACAAGTAGCTAAAACTTGCTCATTTTGATGCGGGAACTGGCGGACGTGCAACAACTTTAATCATAGAAAAGATTTGCAGAAATTTTGCTTACAGCCCCCTGAAGGCTTAGACTGGCCCTGTGAGGACTACTTTTGTTTTCTGTTGTTTTTTTTTTTTGTTTAATTTTTTATGTACGTAACTGTGAATGGCCTAATGTATGTGACAAACAGTTGCTTACGTTTTTAATGTGAAATAAAGTGCAAGCTGACAATCACCTATGTCAGGGGTGCCCATATTCGGTCCTGGAGGGCCGGTGTCCTGCAGATTTTAGCTTCAAACTTGCCTCAACACACCTGCAGGGATCTTTCTAGAATACCTGGTAATAGCTTGATTAGCTAGCCCAGGTGTAACTAAACTTTGCAGGACCTCCAGGACCGAGTTTGGGCACTCCTGGTCTATGTGAAGTCTGTCTGTATGGAAACTATTCCTATTTCTGCAATACAACACCCATAATGCACTGTTAATAACTTTTGAGTTTGGGCACAAAATTAATTTCTGAGTCTCACAGCAAGACGCCACCCACAGCTGAATCCTATCATTGTAAGTTTCTAAGTATATATAGTCAAAGTCAAAGTCAAAAGTCATAGTCAGCATTATTGCTGCTACTCCATCACTGAGAAACATCCATACACACTCATTCACACACAAACACTACAGCCAATTTAGCTTCCCCAATTCACCTATAGCGCATGTCTTTGGACCTGTGACGGAAACTGGAGGAGAAGGAGGAAACTGGAGGAGACCCACACGAACACGGGGAGAACTTGCAAACACAGAGATGCCACTACTTTAATTAAACAATATTTTATTTGTTATTTAAACTGTACACCAATAGGAATGTGCTTTAGATGCCATCTTGTAGTCAGATGTGGAAATTGATTGGGGCACCAAACTCTTGGTCAATTATGGGGATTTTCTAGGTGTCGTGTGTACATGGGTTGTAGACTTGTTATTGCTGTGCATTGTGAGATCGATCAGTCCACTTCATAGCGTCCACTATGGTTTTGGACACCATTAAAAGTAGCTGCTTATAAATAGTGGGCGATTTTGGATACAGGCATAGTTTTCCTTTTGTTTGGTTTTCCCGCTATTATTAGTTTTCATCTAGTCGGTTGGATTTTCAACCTTTTATAGATTCTAATCTCTTTAGTGCGCTCTGTCCTTCACCAATGCAAGCCTGAGACTAGGCAGATACAAAAAAGGTAAAAATGGCTGTAGGGCACAGGTGTTAAACTCATTTTCTGGAGGGCCGCAACCCTTGCAGTTTGGTTCCAACCTTGCTTCACCAAACTTACCGGTAGGTTTCAAATAAGCCGGAAGGACCCAATTATTTTGATCAGGTGTGTTGAGAGTTAAAGGTAAACTGTGCAGTGCTGCGGCTTTCCAAGAACTGGCTTTGACACCTGTGCTGTAGACGATTAATTTTGAGATTAGGGTTTTTTTGGCTTTTAGATGCTACATTGGAGTAGTCAATTTACTTATGGTTAATGGCTTTAGACTGTTGGAGGAAATGGGGAAACCCAGTGAAAACCCACGTGAGCATGGGGAGAACATGCAAACTCCACACAGAAATGCTGACCGGCCTGGTGAGGAGCCAAACCAGCTGTGTTCTTGCTGTGAGGCAACAGTGCTAACCAGTGGGCCTCTGTGCCGCCCTACCAGGAGAAGAAGAGGAGTAGGGTTAGAAGGGGGGATTCTTCAAGACAAAGATGACTGGAGTGGAAAACTCTGCTTATTTATAGTGTGTCAGTATTCATCTGATTGGTGCAATATACCGAGCTGATGCGGTACCATCCGTGTTCAATCATAAACATGCAATCCTCACGAAATTAGTTTATAAATAAACCACACAAAGGAAATGTCCAATCTGCCTTATTGTTGCCATGTTTCTTATTTGTCAGCAGATTTCAGTAAATTACAATACATTATTTACTCAAAACATGTTTTCTTCTCTACTGAACTATAAATCTCCACTTCAGCAGCACTTTCTCACTTACAGCATCATTTACTGTCCCTCTTCCTCCAAACCAGTTTGACTGTCGTTCTTCTGTTGAACACAAAACAAGATATTCTGAAGAAAGGTAACCACTGACTTCCATAGGATTTGTTGTTCCTATATGGAAGTCAATAGTAACAGGTTTTCAGCTTTCTTCAAAATATCTTCTTTAGGTTCATCAGAAACTCCTAAAGGTTTGGAACCAACTGAGGGTGCCAATTTTGAGTGAACTATCCCTATAATGAAATCATGCCACCGTTGGATATTAAACAAAAACATTTTAGAAAATTCTTAGTCAAGATGAAACATAATAATGGAACTTTTATGTGTAAGAGTGTTTGCTGAAATGATTTGAGTACTGGATATTTCTTCCTTCACCTGCAGTGACTCAGAGGTTAACACTTCTCCTGTATCTCTGTCAGGGTTATGTAACAGTGAGAGGGCAGTGTGGCTGATCCAGGTGCAGCTCTCCATTTCTGTCACTCTTATGATTTACATGAAGAAGTCAAGCTGGGTATCAGAGCAAATGTTTTTCATGGGCCAGATTCATCAAACTTTCTAAAGAAGAAATGTCGTCTTTACATACATTTTCTTATTTTCTAAGGACAAAAGTCAAGAATATTTCGTATTACCAAAGAAATTTTCTTAAGAATGTTCCTATTTAGTTTTTCTGACTTTGTTCATACAAAATAAATTCTAACAAAGAATGTTGGGGGATGTGAGGAGGACTATTTGTTTATTCAGATATCAACTCTACAAAACTATAACTTTCATTCATTCATTTTCTTTTCGGCTTAGTCCCTTCTTTTGATCTGGGGTCACCTCAGTGGAATGAATCGCCTACTATAATTTTTTATAATATAAAACAGTGTAACTACTTCAATATTTTACTTATTTAAACTAGTATAATTGGCTTATTAGATGTTTATGTTCCATATGGAAATACTATGGTTTATCAGCAGCTCTTTGCTAGGTTGTTTTTTTGTGTCTTTTCACATCATCCATCTTTAATAAGCTGAATATTTTACACTTTTTTTTGTGTGAGTACATTTCTTTTTGTTGTTAAATGAGCAAATTGCACTCAAGAACTTTTATAAGAAGAGTTTTGTAAATCCAGCTCCAGGACATATGTAGATAGAATCTCAAATATTATTAATTTGTTTCAGAACATGTTGAACTTATCATGACAAAAACTTCACTTACACTCTTGCTATTAAGCAAAGTGAACGACAGCCAAGAACTACAGCAATATGCAACCACAATGACTTCAGAAATGACAGTGAGAATAGAAATATCTGATCATAACCTTATACATTTGTTTGCATTATACATCTGTTGAGGTAATTATTCTGCCTATTACATAGTTAAATATAATTTGATTTCAAACTATAGTTGAGTTTATAAACTGTAAATATCTGGCTGTATAAGACTATAATACTGTATAGAAAGGATTTTTTTGGCCTTATCCTGAACATTATGAGAATAATTTTTACGCAGTATGAGAGTCACATCCTTTTGATCTCCCCCTGCACATTAGTCCTTAAATGAGTCTACAAAATTTTAAAGACTATAGAAAGACCTAAGAGATTGTTAAAAGCTGTTCACACATTGCAATAAAGTTATTAATTCATAAACACTCTTACATATAACTAGGCCCACACGGAATCTGTCCGCGCAGAATTCAGCAGATTTTTAGCCCATCATTAATTCTGTTTATTTACTTGAGTAAATGTGTTTAAATATACATTTATTTAGTTTTTAAATTAATTACAGTAATGTTATTGACTAATATGAAAATGTTAATCTGATTTATGTACACCAGTTTGTAAAGTAATATTTTCTTTCTTTTAGTAGATATATTGTATGAGAGACTTGCATTGTTTACCAAGAAGTGAATCTAATTGGATTTGCATTTTAAACATTAAATAAATGTTAAAACGATATTTTTTACTTCACTTATTAAGGTTTTAGTTATGATACTCCCAAAATCATTCCGCAAAAATCCGCAGATTCTTACCAAAATTTTCCGCAGAAAAACCTCCGACTGGCCCTACATATAACCCCGCCAATAGCTTACTGTTTACCTGCATGAGACTTCACGGCTGGTCTTCTGCTACAAATTAAGTCCTTTGGCACCATCTGGTGGCCACAATACCGCACAGTGTTTCAAAAACTCTTCATACTACCCTAGTAACAAAGTCACTTTTTTCTTTCAAAAAGCACCTAGCAACAAATTAAGCAATTTGCAACATCCATTTCGCAAAATAATTTTTTTTTTTTTACAAATTAATGTAACTCAAAAGAGCAATAGTACCTAAAAGCTTAACTCTTTCACAACAAACGCTAGCAGTAAGTGACCATGCATTAATAAAAAGCAAAAGCACATTGGATGACATTAAAAAGCAGCAATTTTACCAAATAAGTCAATTGATAATACTCAGAGATTATTAAAGTCAATCAAATACACTTAAACAATTGAAAACAACAACAACAACAACAAAAAACAGGCAATTGTTTTCTGAGGTACACCAGAATTAAACCAAACAAATCATGGTCCCTTTAGCTTCCTCTAAAATTTGCAACAGTGGAAATAAAGCCAATAGTATGTTCCTGCAGCACTGAAGAAGGGAGAAAGAAGGACACGTGTCTGACATTACAGGAGATGTTTATTTTATGTATTAGAGAAACCAATGCTGCAACACATTGGAGGCCACTTTCCAGAGTCTCAAAATGATTCAGATATTATATGTAGTGGCATAGGAACTATTTAAAGTGACATTTTGTGCAACGTGTTCTGAGCTGTCTATCCAGTCAATACAAGGGGAATTGAAATGCATGCTTGGATATCTTAACTGCAGTTTTGCATGTTTTACACAGCACCATGCACATCTGATGATGATGTCCGGATGATTCAGGTGAGGAATATGGGTCACTGACATGAAACTGAAAGCTATGTGGAGGGACATGCTGTGGTCCATCTAAAAGTATTTTGAATAGCATAAGTTATGCAGCATTTATTAATGCATTGTTGACATGCATGCAGCATTGAGACGTTTAACTCAGAGATTATTTTTGTCAGATATTTGCCACAGCATTTCAAATTATGCATCGATATGTCCTATGATCAAAGTAAAGTACTGATCATGTACTGTACTTCAGACATTTTCTGCTTAAACATTCAAACGATGGCATGTTGTGTATATTTTTTGCTGTATTATTGCAATGATGATAGTCTGATGATTGAAGTGTGTAGCTCCTCAACCAGAAATATAAACAGTCTGGTTATGCTAGTCATTTAAGATTTAACAACCAGACAAACATTGCTTGCTTACAATGCACAGACTACATTCAATCCCTTCAAAAAACTTCATTTAAACAACTGTATATTATAATAACTAAATAACTTGCATCATTAGCAGAAACCAGACCTATAAAATATACTTCACTTCCAGTAAATGCCTTATTCTATAAATCCTCTTTATGTTGTCACAAATGCAAAACAATCAATGGGTTTCTAGAAAAATATGACATAATTAACTTGCACTTTACACAACACATTAAGAAAATAATATTTGATAAGAGTTTTAAAGTCTCATGTAGTGCATTCTCTTAAAGACACAAACGTACTTAGAATGTACAAACTCGCTCTGTCTCCATCAAATATCTGATTTCCTGAATTTTTGTTCTTGCTCATGTCTGACCGTGGTATGTATGAGGATGTCGCAATATTTATGATTGAGAAAATGCATTATTGCAAACCCCACCGTGTTGCAACATAAACTTTGTGTGAAGGTTATTTTCATTTGCACAACCCAACAAATTCAAGTGCAAACACATTCAGTTCACGGAGACCGCCTCCTTTAGCTTCAATAAGGCATCATCACTTAAAATAAGCAACAATGTTTAAGTGCCGGAATTGTTTGGTGCCATAGCAGTGGCAATCTGCCATTTGGGGCTTATGGGAAATGTAGTCCCATCACTGATAGTGCAAGCAGAAAGTGAGGAGTGGGAAAATCTAGAAGCAAAGTTTCACTTTCATGCAGGATTTCAGAAATTTCTTCTCAGTCTCACTCAGAAGCGGAAACAGTCATTAACTTCGTCTGAGCAGTCAAAGTTGATTCCTTCACACACGGAGTCCTCAAGAAAAAAAAAGAAAATTAAGAGACGTGTAAACTTGTATAACCTACAAGAAAACAATAAGTGTTTTTAAAGTATCACAATCTATTGTACAGCATACACTGGTGGTCTAAATATTTTATATATTATTATATTATTTTAGAAGAAAATACAGCAATATTGAGAAATACTATTACTACTACTATTATTAAGGACAATTCTTGATATGGATATTTTTTTTAAATGCTACTTATTTTTGTGTTGTCCAGCTGAATTTTCAGCATCATTACTTTAGCTTTCACCTTTAGAAATAAATTATTATTATTATAATTATAATTATTATTATTATTATTATTATTATTATTATTATTATTATTGTTGTTTTTGTTGCTATATATGTTTATGGAATTCATTATAAACTAGGATTTCAGAATTTTAAAGTAGGATTTTTTTAAATAAAAAAAAACAAACAAATTAATAATCTTATTTTACATAATTGGATCAAATTAATTGAAGTATGTGTAACCACGTTTATTATGTAACATTTTATTGAAATACTGTTTTTGGGAAACCTTGAAAACTTTCAGTTTCTACATAAAAATATCAGGTAGAAAAAGCTCAAAAATATTATATATTAAAAATGCATTATAATAACATATTATTAATTCAGTAATAATAACTGATAAAAAATAAGCACCGAATCTGAATTTTAAAATCTATTTACAATATTAAATATTTTATA